CTCCAATCCTGAACCTTCGGTTTGGGCTTTAGGGGTTTTAGGGGTTTAGGGTTTAGGGCTTGGGGAGTTTAGGGTTTAGGGTTTAGGGCGTTTAGGGTTTGGGGTTGAGGGTTGAAGGTTTAGGGGTTTAAGGTTTAGGGTAGCACTCAAAATTCGAGCTTCTATTCCTTATTCAGTTTTAAGTACTCACAACTGTGGCCAAGCTTTCTTCCAAGGCTTATCCTAACTCCTAGGTTCCCCAGTAGCTCAGTAGCCCCTAAATGATAAGGGTACCCTTGTTCCTACTCTTTGGTTTTATTCAGGGAACCTGAAAAGAAAAGGGCAAAAGGGTACTACTGGGGAACCTAGTAACTGTAAACCCTAAGCTCTAAACTCTGAGCTTTCACTGCACCTGCTTCTTAGGAGTGGAAATCGTAAAACCACATGGGACTTTCCGAAAATTAGGGTACCTTATTTTGGGGTCCTTATAAGGAACCTACTATTTTGGGTACTATATTAAAATTAGGGTCCCCTAATTTCGGAAACCCCCATATGTGGTTTGCTGCCGCCTGCTGCGCGTGTCTGGGGCATGGGTTCTGCAAAACTATGCACCGTGGCCCACCCGAAGGGTGCCAAAAGGTTTGCAGGGACTTCATAGGGTTTTAATCAAAGGATTCTGCAAGGGTTTGTAAAGCTTCGAAAAGGGTTCATATCAGGGTAACACAAAAGCTTTTACAGGCGTCTGCAGTCTACCTATGGGTCCAATAAATTGTAGAATGAATTTTTTCAGGGTTCTATACCTTATACATGTGCAGGGTCATAACCTCTAAATCCCATACCGATGGCGTCACAGCTCTACTTGGAGGTTCATGGGTAGTTATAGGTAGGGCTTCAAGTCGCCCAATATGGGCTATACATATAGTTACACTACTTATAACTCTGTTTATACCCACCCATGAACACCCAAGCACACGCCAAAAAGTTCCCGTACTTGGAGGTTCACGGGTAGTTATAAGTGGGGTTATATGTAAGGTAGCTATAGTTATAACCCATATGAGGGGACTTATAACCATACTTCTAAACCCTAAACCCTATAGACCCTATAGACCCTATAAACCTGATAAATACACCCTATAAAGCCTATAAACCCTATAAGCCCTATAAACCCTATAAACCCTAAACCATACTTATAACTACCCATGAACCTCCAAGTAGGATCCTGTCGGGGGTCATCGCCGGGCAGGAAGTTTTGACTGGAGGTCCCTGTAGAAGCATGATAGGCTCGAGGGCTTAAGGTTTAGGGCTTAAGGTTTAGGGTTTAGGGTTTAAGGTTTCGGGTTTAAGGTTTAGGGTAATTAGTTTTAGGGTTTAGGGTATTAAGGCTTCGGGATGAGTCTCAGCCGAGCCGCGTTGAATCTGCGGAGTGGGCGAAGGTGAAAAGATCGAGCCCTACGCCTCTGCTCTGTACAGAGTGTAAGTCAGAGCAGCTGATGGCAACAGAGCAGGCCTAAATCCTGGAGAGGTAAGGGCTTTAGGCTTATAGCGTTTAGGGTTTTTAGGGATAGGGGCGTTAACTAACCCTAAACCCTAAACCCTAAACTTAACTGAATCGATCCCTGAGAGCAGGCGTTGACTGAATCGACCCCTGAGAACGGCCACTATGCATGTTCCAGGAGCGGCAGAGTCACATTCCCGACCAAACAGGCGATGCATGTAACTCATTCTAGTATATCATAGTTTATTAATTTATACTGTAGTTTATTGTTGTACATCAGTATGTTATAGTATATTAGTATCTTAATAGTATATTTGGAGTATATTATAGCTATCTTATAGCATATTAGGAGTGTCTTAGAGTAGATTAGGAGTATATGATAGCTTGCTATCGTGGTTTGTAGTATACTCTGGAGAATCTCCTGGCTCTGATTGATTTTCTTGGGGGGGTCTGTTTTGCAGGACTGCACCATGTGCTTCGTAATCCAATCCTGAACCTTCGGTTTGGGCCTTAGGGGTTTAGGGGTTTCGGGGGTTTAGGGTTTAGGGTTAGGGATTTGCCGGTTTAGGGTTTCGGCTGTAGTTTAGGGTCTAGAGACTATAGGGCTTAGGGTTCAGCGTTCAGGCTCCGGCACTACCTGCAAGACCCCCTAAGCCCTGGAGTACTGAATTCTCCACTACACTGTAAAAAAAATCCAAATCCATCACCACTAGTGTGTATAGTATACCCCTTCATTGGTCTTGGCTTCGGGTGTGTAGATGTACTCATATCCGCACACAGACCACAGCACTAACCCACTGGACCCTAAACCCTAAACTCTGAACCCTGAAACCTGAACCCGAAACCCTAAACTGCCCTAAATCCGAAACCGGCCCCCTAAAACTTGGATTCTCCGACTCTATGCACGTGCCTTTGGACACCGACGCCAGGCTCCCATGTCAAAAAGCAAAACACGGTTTAGAGCTCTAGGCTTTAGGGGTTCAGGGTTTGGACAGTTCTTTAAATCAGGGTCCCTCTTTAGGTCCCCAACGGCACTTTTTTGTAAACAAAAGAGGACCCTAAGAAAAGACAAAAAAAAGAAAAAGGACCCTAAGACAAGGACAAATAATTTAGACAACTACCCGTTTGGGGGCCCCAGAGCCTAAAGCCTAAACCCTAAACCCCTAAACCCCTAAACCCCTAAACCCTAAACCCCTAAACCCTAAACCCTAAACCCCTAAACCCTAAAACCCTAAAACCCTAAACCCTTCAGGGTTCGGGGTTTCGCGGGTTTGGCGGCCGCTGCTGTGATCTAACTGCTGGGATGACGAGCCATGAGGGCCTCAGGACTTCGTAAGTTTCTTTTTCGGGGGTTTAGGGCTTAGGGTTTAGGGTTTAGGGACTTAGTAAGATTTTTAAGTTTTTTACGAGTCGTTAGGGTTTAGGGTATCTTAAGCCGACGCGGACCTACCTACCAAGTCCCATGATCATGAAACCCTGAAAGCCTGAAGGCCCGAAAACCTCTAAAGACAAAAAAACCTGAAGCCCCAGCCCCCCGGTTTAGGGTTTAGGGTTCAGTCCCATGTTCCTGTCAGCAGCCCGCCCCGACAGTTCCTCGGCCACAGCACGCACCTTTTCTTCCTTACCAGCATCCCACGAGCAAAGCTGAGCCGACAAAGGCCCACCCTTAAAGGATCAGGGGATTTAGCAAGCTTGTTGTGCGAATTTTAAGTAGGACAAGCCCAATGAGTGTATTTCTGGCTATAAATCTACCTATGCACTACTTACAAAATCCCCTGATCCGTGGAGCAATGCCATGTCGCATTTTGCACCTGTTGGGACCTGGCACTTTGAACAGCCCAGGTTTAGGGTTTAGGAATCGCGTTGCTACTTTATCCTAGGGCTTTGGGAGGGAGCTCTTCGGCACGCAATATTAGGATGGAATATCGCTGCTCGTCCGCATACTAACCTTAATGACCACATGTTCCTTAACAAAGTGTGAGGCCGATCACTTGTACTGGATGGTCGTACAAGCACCATTTTAAGGTGCTGAACTCCCCTAAACCCTAAACCCTAAACCCCAAAACCCTAAACCCTAACTCCTAAACCCTAACTCCCCTAAACCCTAAACCCCAAACAGCCTAACGCCTTTGGGCTTCATTTGGTTTTCAGAGGAAGGCGAAAGGAAGTCTGCTCCAGGGCATCAGCGTCCTGGCTGTGGAACCAGGCGCCAGACCTGGAAGAGCTCTAATTCTTAGTTCCTTCAGGGTTTAGGGTGTTTTGGTGTTTTAGGGTTTAAGGTTTAGGGTTTAGGGTGTAGGGTTTAGGGTTTAGGGAACTATACAGGTACTATAACGGCTCTATAAACGTACTCTAAGGGTGGGATAAGGGACCTAGTCGGGTACTATAAGATGCTATACGGGTACTACAAGGGACCGTGAGACTATGGGGTTTAGGGTATGGCGGCCCCATGTACCTAAAGCCCTAAAACCCTAAACCCGTTTAATGTAAGCTTAGGCGTCAAAGGGATTCCTGCATGTTGACTTTCGGTCCGAAGTATGCCTGGGCCCTTCAAGAAAGCCCACTCATCCAAACATGCCCGAAACCCTGGCAGAAAATCTTAACGACCTGTGATATATATATATATATACATATACATAAACAAATAACGTGTATGTGTGTATATATATGTGTTTCCATATACATCTATGTATGTTTGTGTGTATATATATATGTGTGTATATGGCCTGAGGATAGGTTCCAACAAAACAGTAACCGAGTTCAAGGTAGACAAGCCAAGCTGCGTGCGTGTAGGACTTCTCGGGCATCTAGCCCTAAACCCTAAACCTATACTCCAGCAACATGCGAGTTGAATTTCAAGCTCGGGAGTCCATTGTAAATACTAAAGCCTAAACCCTAAACGCTTTAAGACCCATTACCCTGCATGAACACAGTGGCCTTGGCTAACCACATCGGTTGAAGCTGTTGGAGTAGTAGCTAGGTTCCCCAGTAACCCTTTAATCATAGGGGTACCCTTTTTCCCAACTTAGTTGCTGAGTTCATAAGGATAAAAAAGTGTACACTTTCAGTTCTAGAAGGGGTCATATTATCCCCAAAAGGTTAAAGTGTAGTAATTCAGCTACTAAGCCAATATTCGGCTTTAATAAGGAGACCCCCCCAAATACAAAGGGCCAAAAGGTACTACTGGGGAACCTATGTAGTGAGGACTAACTAACCTACTGTTGCAAGAATTGAAAGGCCAAGATGCTCGAAGTCGCTCAAAGTTTAGGGTTTAGGGTTTTGAGGGAAGTCCTAAACGCAAAAGTCAAAACTTAATCGGGGCTGTTGTAGTGCGTTTTCTTCCGGGCTATTTCCTGAGCACCGCGAATCTAGCAAAGCTGTAGCAGCTCCATCACGAGGCCGGAGGCCACAGCAGGGTTCCGCTGCCTATCTCACCCCACCCCTGGGGGCTTCCAAAAACCAAAGGATTACTCAGAGATTAAAAAAACTTCAGGATGCGCAGAGCTTCTCTTGGAAGCTGACATACTTATCTGACGCGCCGTTGCAGCCGCACGTTTCGGCTCTGCCAGAATAAATGGTCCGGTGGCGGGTACGCCTCCGAGAGATATGAAGCGTTGGTTGTGTATCCGCATCTCAGTTTCTTTTCAAAAGGCCACGGATGACCAAGCTCCATACCGACATACTCATATCCTTGGCAGGCGGCTGCTTGTAAATCGCACTGGAGACTTATCTTTCTTGGCACTGAATCGCACTCACGGCATGAAGATCAACGCACATCACCCTAAACCCTAAACCCTAAGACAAAGGATGACAAAGGGGCACTGCAGTAGGGTCTGGGAGGTTATAAGGATTGAAACTCAGAGCCCTATACTGACGGAGCGAGGGATCCTTCGTGTTCGTGGCGTTGTAGCATCTTCTCAGTGGGGCAGCAGAAGCCGTTCTTCTTGACACCGAGGTCCCCTAAAGTTATGGGGTGGCGCGTCCATGTCATCAGTGGCACGAAGGTATATTGCAAGGGATGGTGCCGCACATTGTATGACAGATATGTGGTGATCTCTCCAAAGCCTAGATGTGGGTTGGTCTGGTCGATGCACTCGACGATCCGCTTAAGCCATGGTTGAGGCTGACCTTCTGCAACATCCCGGATATGCCCGCCGAAACGGCTCAGTAGCTCTGTTATGTAGGGCCGGTAACTCATCCAGGAGTGCGACGTGTATGAACTCCCGTCTGGTGGGTCCTCGATGTTCTCACCATGAAGAAGGCACCTGTGCGCCTTCTCGTACTGGTGTGCATCCCCTCCTCCTGGCCGGAGGTTTATGGTCGGTAGGATGCCATCAAGTCCTGTGAAAGTGCTGAGGCCAAACACCTGAAAGTTTGACAAGATCATCATGTCTGCATCGTGGAGGAGAACAAAATCCAGCACATCGTCGCGCATGCCGAAGCCCAAATTGAGAAATTGCATAAGATACCAGCCAGTGCTTCGGCGGCCAGAAGTCATCTGGCACGCATGAGTGGTCAGACTGGATCGTAGCTACAAGCTTGGCCATGTCTAGATACGCGTGTGCATATGTACATATGCATGCAGATACATGTGTATGTATATATATATATAGTATATAGTATATACATGCCTGTATGGAACACACAGACCTTCTTATCCGCAAAGATGGAAATATTCCAAATCACAGGCAGCCCCGTCGTTCACATGAGAGGACAGTTCGGAGAACTGCATAAACTAAGGGTGTAATGGGTGTTATGATAATGAGGCTTTGTGGGGCTTGCTAGGGTGGTACTGGGCTGAGGCTTAGGCGCCTGCTGACCATTGTAGCCCTGCTTGTTCAGCTCCTTAGTTGCTGTGTATGCTTTCAGTTCTATAAGGGATCAGGATTTAGGGCTTATAGGATTTATCATACTAACCCGAAAAGAGGAAAGTGTCCTCAATGAGCGCCTGAGGCTCCTTACCGATGATGTCGTAGGAGACGCCAGGCACAGCCTTGGAGTCGTCCACTCCGATGACATTTTCGTGCAAACTGCTCATACTCTCGACCCATTCACCAGGAACCTTGGCTTTCGAGATTTAGGGTTTAGGATTAGGGGTTATAAGGATTAAGGGTTAAGGAGTCAGGGTTTCAGGTTTAGGATTAGGGGCTATAAGGAATTAAGGGTTAAGGAGTCAGGATTTCAGGTTACAGGGTTTAGGATTCAGGGTTTCAGGCTTAGGGTTCGGGAATACTCTCGATGCATGGACCAGGAACCTTGGTTCCACAAAGCATCAAATCCTAAACATTGAAACCGTGCACCGGGAGCCTAGGTATACACACTTCTGTTTGTGCCTGTGTTCATATTTATATATGTATATGTATAGGTATGTATATATATATATATGTTTGTGTGTTTTCACATATGTATGTGACACATACATACATACATACATACATACATACAGACAGACAGACAGACAGACAGACATACATATGTATGTATGTGCGTGTGTGTGTGTGTGGTTGTACGTGTGTGTGTGTGTGGTGCGGTTTTCTAGAGTTTTGTAGGTATCGCCTGCCCCTTTTTCTACCATCCAAGTCTTCTAAAGGAAAGCAACACTAAACCACAAGTAAAAAAAGGTGTACCACTTGAACACTCTCGCAACCGACACATAGATCCTCCTGAGACCCTGGGGTTTCAAGTGCTTCAGAGCTCCCATAATGGTCTGGTAGTTTACACAAGTTGGTGTTCTCATGACGGTCATCATGTCGAAGAGTGGGCCATCCGGCTGCTCTGGGCGACGATGGTCATGGAGATACGTCCTCCGCCGTTGTCTGGTCAAATTTCTCGCTACTTCGGCTGCATGCTCGTTCGCGGGTGTGGTGTACACGTAGCCTTGATATGCAGCCAGAAGGATGAAAGACAAGAAGGCGACCACGCCTAGAGCGATTCGACCAAACTTCATTGCTGGACATTGCCAGGACGATTAGGCTAGGGGCCAAACTAGTTAGAATAGGTTTTTTGGGGTGGTTATACGATATACAATAATGATCAGGATCTCCCAAAATAGTCTTGGCAATTATTTTGGGTTGGGCATTGTTGACAGGCTCTTGAGACTTGGTCGCAGCCGGCAATCTATGCGCCCGTGTTCTCAACTTACGAACTGCCTTCCTCCAAGACCGGGATCCACTGAATCCCCATTGAGCTGCAACCAGCTGCAACATGTCATGCTTCCAGGTTTATGGTCAGGGCTTACATGCCGGAGCTCGCGACAATGTTTCAGAGTGCATGCAAGTAGACGTACAGAATTCACCCCTGTCTCATGTCCTTCCCGGAACCTTTCAAGCTCTTTCCGAGTTCCATCATGCTGTTGATGGTAGAAAGCCTGCATTACCTTCAGGATCCCAAAACTATGGGAGTCATGGTATTATTTTTGATTATGGCTATTTATACCATCAACCGTGCTATGAGGCTCGTACCTTTAGTAGTGCAGAAACCCTAAACCCCAAACCCCAAAACCCTAAACCCAGCTATGAGGCACTTACCTTTAGTGCAAGATCCTGTTGGGTTTCATGCTGTGTAGAAGGTGAATTCGTGGTCACCTGGAGCCCTAAACCAGGTTCCCGGTTGGGGCTATATTAAACATGATCATGTCTTCATCCTTGTTGGGTTTAGGTTTTAGGGTTATCTTGGGTTTTTGGTATAACAAACATGTAAAGTTGTATCCAACAAGAAACCAGAAACCCTAAACCCTAAACCCGTGCAGACTTTGCTTCTTCACCAGCCTTGACCGGCAGCCGGTCAAACAGCGATTAGCGGGGTTTAGGGTTAAGGGTTTTAGGGTTTTAGGGTTTAGGGTTTAGGGTACTCTGTGAAAGGTCACTCTGCTGGCATGCCTTGCTCGTGTAAAAGCAGCCTTCCTGATGTAAAGTCTGTAAAGTAGTCCAGTTATTGCGGAGATTTCCTGTCAAACACGGCAGGTTTAGTGCTGTTCATGACGATAACTCTGTATAAAGCGCTAGCTAACATGCGGTTATCGATTTCAAGTGCTGTAATCACGAAGCATTACGTGAGCCTATGCTGCATGCATGTGTCGAATTGGCAGAGACGCTGGTCTTGGCGTGACGCGTTGAGGCTGAACCACAATCGATGACACAACCCCGCAAGCCCGAAAGTGTAGCTTGCCGGTTCAAGACTTTCGGAGCGATACTTGGAGGTTCATGGGTAGGTATAGGTGGTGTTACAAGTATGGTAACCATAGTTATACGTATTGGAGGGCTTGTAACTCCATTTATGACTACCCATGAACCTCCAAGTAAGGCTTTCAGTTTTGGGCAATATGGCCGCACAGGCTATGAGCATAACTGCTTGGGCTAAACCCAAAATAAACCATCCCTGGACCCTGAAAGACCTACCCTTTTAAGGACTTACTATAAAGAAACCATAGCAAGGAACCCTAAAAAGGTAGGTTCTTTGGGGTCCAGCTCCACCTTAAACCTGGCTGACCCCGGAAACCTCTGAGCAGAAACTCCTCAACCCCTAACCACCAAACAAAACCTAAACCCTAAACCCTAAACCCTAACCACCAAACGCCCCAAAACCTGTCTAATGAAGGAACCTTCAGGTGCATCTCGAAGCATACTAAGGATTCCGATATTATGGGGGTTCAGGGTTTAGGGTTTACTGAGAACTCCGCTATTGGGGTGTCCGCAAATAGGGGACCATAATCTCGTACACCAAAATAGTAGGATCCGTATTATTATTATTATAAGGACCCCAAAGCATACTAAGGATTCCGATGTTATGGGGGTTTCCGAAAAAAGGGGACCCTAATATAGTATCCCCCAAAAGAGTAGGATCCTTATTATAAGAACCCCAAAATAAGGTACCCCTAATTTTCGGAAACTCCCATAAAACCCGAAACCCTAAACCCCTATAGATCCCTTTAAAGGAACCCTAAAAGGGACCCTAAAGCCCTAAACTCTCATATAGTTCAAGGACGTTGAATGCTTTGAACTAAGGGCCCTCGGACTTTCTCTTGGCCCCCAAAGCCACTGCCCCACAAAAAACCCTAAAACGGGCGTTTAGGGTTTAAGGTTTTAGGGTTTAGGGCTTTAGGGTTTTAGGGTTTAGGGCTTTAGGGCTTTAGGGTTTTAGGGTTTAGGGCTTTAGGGTTTTAGGGTTTTAGGGTTTAGGGTTCAAGTCTAAATCGTAACCGTAAGCCCATGCTTGGCCCCTAGCCGGACTCGGCCGTCATCGGGGCCAGCAGGGTCTCCATCAGAAGGTCCAGGAAGCCGCCGTCTGCTTTATGGCCTCGTAGTTGAAACAGGATTTGGGGCTCTATCATCGTGGTAGAAGTATGTAGGGACTATCAGACTATAAGGGAATGTTATTACTACTGAATGACCTAGAGAGCCCAATACCCCTTAACGCAGGAATATACCTTAAATCATAATATTAAGGCCCCCCCATAATTTAAGGTCTATCCCTTAACTAAGTGGTATTCGGCTCTCTGAGGATTCCGACCCCTTTTATTAGAGTTCCGCGTTGTCCATCTTCAGCTTCCGGGTTCGTCTTCTCTGCTCCACCAAGCTTTCGGGGGTTGGTGGTTTAGCCCGAAGGGTCCAAGTACTCCCTAAAAAAAGGACTTTAGGGTTTAGGGTGTAGGGGTTTCGGATTTTGAGGGAAGAGAAACCATAGATAAAGGCTACTACAACCCTTGAGTAAGGTTTTAGGACTTGATTCAAGCTTCAGGATAACCCTAAACCCTATAAACCCTAAACCCTAAACCTGCTTTAGAACTTGAGTCAAGCTTCAGGATTTCTGTGAGCCAGAGAGCCGCCCCAAACCAGCCGTCAAGGATCCATGTCCTCAAGTAGTAGGTACTTTTACCGACTACACAGGGACTACTTGAAGGCCAAGGTATATACTACTTAGGCTTAGGGTTTAGGAACTACTTTCAGGCAATGGTATGTACTGTTTGGGTTCAGGGCTTAAGTGATAGGGACTACTTTCACGTCGATGCATATAGTATTTCGGTACATGGACCCGCAGGGCCACATAAACAAACATCCTTGGTCCGAGGTACAGGAGCCGCGCAGGGTTTTAATTTAGGGTTGTAAGGGTTAGGGCTTAGGGTTGAGGGCTCACTGTTTTAAGGGTAAGGGCTTAGGGTTTAGGATTTTGAGGGTTAGGGTTTAGGGATGGTTGCTCCTGCAGCAATTGCTTGAGCTCGCACTTGCAGCTGTCACCTTGAAATCTTGAGTGCCTCGAACCCCAAACCCAAAACCTACACCCAAAGCCCAAGCACACAATATCTATAACTTAGCCCCCAGACCTGAAACGATATTGAGAGTTAGGATTACGGGGACCCTTGAGGATATAGACCCTAGGTCCCTTTTAAGACAGCCACAAAGAGGGTTCAGAAGGGTCCCCTTTAAAGGGTCTCCCTAAAATCACCTAGGAGTTTCTTACACGCGAGCAACATTTCATGGTTACGCCGGTAACGCCCTCAGGCCCATGGTACATTGCCGTGCAACCATGTAAGTAAGGACAAGGGAAGATCGCAGAAACCTCTATACCGAAGCCCTAGCCCTAAACACTAAACTCCTAAACCAGCCCTAAACCTTAAACCCCTGAACCCCTAAACCCTGAACCCATAAACCCCTAAAACCCCTAAAACCCCTAAACCCCCAAACCCTAAACCCCTAAACCCTAAACCCCCTAAAACCCTACACCCTCTTGGGAGCTGGCCCTGGCTAGCACTCATGGACGAAACCGCAGCCGACTGACAAAGTCCTCAACGTGGCTTCGACTTTATAGGGCTTAGGGTTTTAAGGTTGCTTTCAGGGTTTAGGGTTTAGGGCTTCGTGCAAAAGGGTTTTGGGCTTTTAGGGGTTTAGGGGTTTAGGCTTTGGGGTTTAGGGGTTTAGGGGCTTACGGATCTGAGCCTCTATACTTTTTGGCGGTACGTCTTGGTTACCAAACTGCGGACCGCCCAACTTTGCGCAGAGAGCTGGGCGCACGAGCTTCGCTGCTTCATCTTCCTAAGGTTTAGGGTTTAGGGTTTAGAGTTTAGGGTTTAGGGTTTAGGGTGCACTTCTTTTCGTTTTTTTCTTACTCTGGTCAGCTGAGCATTTGTGACTTGCCGTGACCAGTCTCCTTTGGCTCCGGGTGAGATTTCGAGGCCTGATGCCTTCCACCCGGGCCGCAGTTGCTTCATACTGCGCCTGATAACGAAAACCCACACCCAAACTAAAAAGCCCTAAAGCCTGAAGCCCTAAACCCTAAATCCAAGAACCTTAATAAAATCCTAAATCCCCAAAAAAACCTTCAACCCCACTCTGGCCCTCCAGACCACCAAAACCCAAGCCCTGCCACCCTAAACTGTGTTCTTGTTCAGGTGATTTAATTAAGTTTGCCATAAAAAGAGAAACCATGCATATTATTTACTATAGATCCCATTATGGTAACTTAAATGCAACCTCTTAACAACATGGTAACTTAAACACACTCCCTTAACACTATGGTAACTCAAATAGAATCCCTTTCCAATTCATGGTAACTCAAATAGAATCCTTGAACAATATGGTAACCTAAATAACCCCTAAACCCTAAACCCTATAACAAGAGCCCCTGTAAAATCCCGAAGCCAGACCCCTCCGTGGCTTCCTCGTCTCCGGTGCTTAGTCCCCAGGGGATTCCTGCAGCGGCCCGGTCTCTCCCAGTTTGGGGATCCGTCTCCGTTTCAGGGTTTAGGGTCGAAGGCGTCGATTTTAGGGCAAAAGATCTCCATGTGGGGATTTCGGGTAGCGGGCTTAGATTTTTAGGGCAACTACTATTACTAGCTTCTGACAAACATACGCCCTACTCACTTGAGTCCGAAACCCTAAGCCCTAAACCATAAACCTTAACCCGAAAAAATAGGTCTTAGAACCATAAGACTATACTCTGAGCGTGGCTTTT